CTTCTTTATCGACTTTTAAAATTCTGTATAATGACAAACTCCTGTCTGTCTGATAAAAAGCTTCTCTTGCCTTCAAACGACATTTTAAGAAGAAAAAAATAGTCAATATAGTTTTACAATTATAGAAGTGCCAGCGGTGTTTTTTTGTCTTTTTAGATTTTACAATAACCTGCACCTTCTTGAATTGGGAAAATATAGCATTGTTCTTTAGAAAATAGGGAACACATTCTTTCGTTTATCCTTTTGGGAAAATAACGCAAACTTTTGGTGGGGGAAAGCAGCCTATTTTCTGTTGTAAAACTATTCGATTTCTTTTCTTGTTTTCTAGATCGAGTGCTTTGAAAATCTGGATATCAACATAAGAGGCGTTTAACACAATGTAATATTTCTTGGAGTTTCATTCTGACTGACGATTATTAGACCTGAAATGAAATGCTAAATAACCCCCCCCCCCCAACAAAAAAAAAAAAACACCCAGAAAGAAAATACTTAATTTGAGTTTTATAAAGCTTTTTTTTCAATTGTTGAAATTCATTCAGTCGTCAACTTTGATGTTCTGACGCTTCACTAATATTACAGTATACAACAAATTAAAACAGAGACGGTAACTTTTGCAGCTTGAAATAAAATATTTCCCTTTCCAAGTTTGAATCCTTTGATTGGGTTGGGTAATGAGGACAAATACACAGTCGTCATCTGATGTTGACTCCGATCATGAGTTAAGTAATTCGGACTGTTTGCCGACATGTCATAGAAATTAGGGTTCTACATAACGACAAAGATTTGAATATGTGTTTTAAATCGAATCCTGTAGAATAATAGGTGTCATGTTCACGCTAATCCAATTTAACTTTGACACAAATCTGTCGCGCTAAAGATCTTCGAAGATCCGCTCAGACACCTTGGAAAATCCTTAAATCAAAATCCCTAAATCATTGAATTTCTATAAAGTTTGTAAAACCTGAATGCTTGCCACGATGAAGGAACTGGTGTCCTAGACAGATAAATTCCACAGTTTTGTATACAGTTAAATCTAGTTAACATACTATCTCAAGATTGACAAAACAAATCCCCAAGTTTTATCTTGAATAATTCCTCTAACGTTTGAGAGTGATCCAGGGAATCAACACGGACGGGAGGGTAGCTATCGGGGGGTATACGATCCTGGGAGACTACAGTAATCGCGCTAAACACCTATTCAAGCCTCGGACGATACAGAAGATTAGTACTGTAAATTTGGTCTGTTTATGTTTTGTTTGGACAAAGCTTATCTTAATTCAACAAAGTCCCGGCTTTATTTACGAGACCCTATACCTGTTCCAGTATGTATCAATCTGTACGAGTTTCGTAGGGAGGGTAGATATAAGGGGACTAGCTGAATATTGTGGTTGGTTGGTTGGGTGGGGAGGGGCACTTTCAGTGCATGCATCAAATACCATCTTCTTTTGACGTGTTGCGTATCAGATACATTTTCAATTGTGTATCCCCACAAATAATCTCACAAAGCAAGTTGGCGACAGCATACAACTATAACATTGGCAGGATAAGTGAAATATCATAGTTATACAACTCGGTAATATGCACAACAAGCTACATTTGGGATTTTATGCAGTACATATTAAAGAGCACTCAAAATCCGGTATTTTGAAGAACTTATACATATAAACACAATTTACACTCGAAATATTCTCTATTTTGAAGTACTTATGTAGATATTTATTATAATATGTTAAGTCCGCTCTCCGGCAAGATCTTTCGAAATCAGAACATCGGTCTGGCGTTGATTCCCCCACCCCTAACACACACACACACAGTCCTCCCAGGGCAGGGTAAACACTTTGGTTAGAAGTTAATTCAAAACCCCCTCGATATCAAAGCAATCATAAAACCCTAAGACCATCTCCAGACGCAATCATCACCCCACCCTGTTACGAATGTATGTGGTCGTCCTCCGCACCTGCCCCCCTCCCCTCCTCCCGAGAATTTTATTACCGGTCTATTTTGCCAGGTAGACATTGATGAGGGTCTAATAATCATGTCATATGTTTATACAATACCTGGACACAGGTAGTCGATGATTACAAGTTAATTACCTATAATATACATATTTATTGCTAGTTTATTACAGTTGTAAAAACCCGCCACGCCCCGTCATTCAACCCTAGGATTCCACAACTAGGCAGTAAACCTTACGTCCCCCGCAGTCTATTTTTCCAACTATACCCTCCCGGGGGTCTCGCTTACCAGATCTCCGATTTTTCACCTGTTGCTACTAAACTACCGGGAGTGTATTGCTTAGATCTCCCGCGCACCTGTTGTGTGTCGTTTCGTTCGGGTTTTATCACACCATATGTTCCCCTCCCGGCTCTTAACATTAAATCGTCTCCATTCATAAAAACAATTTTTGATTACAACTCAAATTAGGAGCCAGGTTTAAAATGTTAAATCCAGGGCTAGCACTCGAGTCAATGTACTGTAAGTAAGCGTGTCATTTATTTTTCATAAGAAATCGTTGCACTGTTTAAAGTGTTCAAGCACGGCTTTCGGTCACAGCAGCTGGCTAACGGAAACAAAAGGGGACGATTTTATAAAACAGCACCGTAAAACAATATCTATTCTTAACGTCTGGCCATGAATAATTCAAGATATTTCTTCGGTGTATTATCACGGGAAAGAATCTTACCGCTTTTGGAGTTTTAATATTCATATCCAATCGGTCCGTTTCCCGCCCAGTGGCTCTCATAATATATTGATAAATATGTTATATAGTTGTATCAGGCAGTGAAATGGACAATCTTTTTGGGAGCATTTGATTTTTAATTTCGAAATTGCGTTTTAAAATACCTGAACTATTTTAATTTTCGGCAATTGTTTTAAAATTTGGTTTCAAAACATTTGAAAATATTTAAATTTTGTCTCGAGTTATGCAAGCAAGCAACTGGCACGGAGTAAACAGCTCAAGGATAGCAGACATACCGACCATTTTTGGAAAAGTAAATGATGCTATGAGGATGCCGACATCCTCAAAACATCACGGTTTTATGAATATTTCCTATTTATTAGTACATACTATAAAATCTGACGAAAACAAGTTGTCCGAACATCAGACTTTAGACATTTTGATATAAAGATATCTGTAGACTAGACATCGTTTGTAAAAATGTCTGGGTAGTATCGAGGCCAAAAACTCGAGACTTACAAAAAAAAAGGTATCAAAACGTGAGAGAATGCATTGAGAATCCCATCTGTTGTTTACAAGATATTTGTTTAATCAAATAAAGTGGTATTTTTACAGGTAGGTGCAAGAATTTCACGTGTGTACGCTAAAACTCCCTAAACACTCTACCTGCCCCTTTTCAACGCGTGTACCTGTTGGATCAAACTAGGGGTGTTAACCGCCAGACAGGTGAGCTCTCCTGTGGGACCCAGGTAACCAGGTAGACGATCGATCGTCGCCATTAATTAGCGAACTGCGTCCAGGTATGGCCATTGTTCTCTAGTGAAATACGGGGATGTGACGGTCACGTGACTCGCACCTAATCGGAAAGCCGATTGTGTCCTTAACGGTTTTTTACCTCGGCATAACACCTCGTTCTATGCAATTGTAACCACAAAGGTAGATTGTGGATTCTTGGTATTTTGGCGGATTACGATGACGTAATCCCCTGGTTCCTAACATATGTACAAGTGTTTTCTACAGACCAATTACCACTTAAAGTTATAGAGCAGGTGCCCCCATGTTGGATCTTACATACAAACATTTACACGATAAACATGTCACTAATAATGAAAGAAAGAAAAAAACTTGAACATAACCAGAGACCTAGACTTAATAGCTACATTTTGCAATAATTTCATAAATAATATATTAATTGGAATACATCGCTTTCTACTTTAATTTCGTGCATATTATATTTTAAATAATATATAGCGTTTGGTGTTAATCTGCTTACAATGTCATGCAGTTTTGTTTTACAGTTTTGTAATATTATCAAATATCAAATTTATAAACTTTGTTAATGCACATCTTTAAATGTGACCATGATCACAATAATAAATATTCCCTAATACAATCAAATATAGATTTTGTACATGAAATAGTTTTCAATGTCATATATATAATTAGTTTTACAAAACAAAACAAAAACATCTTTTCTTTACAACAACATGGACGGGCTATATATCATATTATTAGACATATAAAAGTCTCGAATAATATAAATAAATTATTTCAAAAACAATTTAGGAAAGGATGAGCTAACATGTGAATGAAATATTTCATACAAATGTATCAAAGTATAAATGTATTACATATTTAGTTTAAAAATATATTCCTATAATTTCTTTCTTATTTTTTCTCTCTTCTCAATTAACTGCTAGCACGCGCTATCGCCCTGAAGATCAATTGCTATAAAAGACATGAAGTCGTTATAGTTTATGATTTAGGCGGGTTATCTAAAGTGCTGATTGATTTTTTGACTCTGCAGCTCCCTTAAAAAATCAATGCCGCTAACCGACACAGCTGTCATCTGTGTACCGTACACGCACGTGTATAAGGTACCCACATGTCAGACCCAACCACGGTAAGGACAAGTGATCTTGTAGCATAAACTATATTTACGACAGACATTTTTCAGTGAAATTCAAGCCATTTTTTTTGTTAAATATTAAAATGTGGAAATGATGAATTTATGAATAACTGTATGATCAACATTGACAGTATTGATTCTGTATCAGGCGGGAGACTGCGCTGCACAGCCGCTAAATATCGATCTGTTTATCATCAGCCGATATTTGAAATATGGACAATGGGACCGAAAGCTGAATGTAAACATGTCTTAAAAACTGGGGAAAAAAACACCGAATTTACCGTAGCGACCTACATGTATAAAGATGTTAGATATCGCGTGTAGATTATATACCTGTAAACACAAGAGGTCATCTTTCCACTCGGCTGCCTCGCCGGTATTATTTACATGTATATACACACACCGACTTACCTGTGCAAATGTCACCGATGTTTTCTTTGTCGTTGTCTCGTAATAACTCTTCATTTTCTGTATTTTGACACAAACTGTTATTCTCCTCTCCAGCTCGACGGACAAGGAATGTCCGAGGCATCTTGACCACTTTCTGACCACTGACTTCACTTCCACGTCTTGTCAGTGATTCACGAAAAGCTAACAGTGTTTACTGTGTTTTGTATTAAGCGCCGTTTCGGGCACTGAACAGGCTGCGCATGCGTCACATGAATCAAGCTGTGAGCAAACAAATTGCTCGAGCTCATTTGAATGACAATACGATAACGTTATAGCGGAGATCGTGTAACGACTCGGCTCGCTGTCAGATGTTCAGCGTGAAAACCGTTGAAGAGGCATAAAGCGGATGACCGATGGGTAAACATTGAGGCGGGTTTCTAATTGTTACGAATTCACGTTCTTTAGAAAGTGTCTGTTTGGTTACCGCGATAACAGTATTTATTTGCGTCATGACACGGACAGACGTTGGGAAAACACGGATACGAATTTGTCAATAAATCTATTGACTTTCTTTACAGTAAATTACTGCGGAAGAGGAAATACGGTTAGAATTAATTGCGATATCTTCCAAAGTGGATCTGACACTCGACACTATTAACAGGCCACCAAAGATAAGACTAGCACCAATTAACAGTGAATAGGAAGAAGGGTATTTTTAAACACCTTTGATATTTTTTTTTATCAAAGTGATACAGAATTTGTTCAATTAAGTTTGATAACACGATGAATTATTTCACTTATTAACTCAATGATAACAGCAGTCATAATCTAATCAATAGCCAATTACGTTTGTGTTAGACTGAAAATTAATTAATGAAAAATTTAACCTGACCGAGATTTCTTTCTTCACTAGCGATGAAGAAATTGGCACAGAATACCATAGAAGATCTCTAAGTCCCTGAAAACGTTACTTTCGTAAAATATTAAAACGGTATTTTAACAAACATATTTTATGGACTCTTATAAATTATCTCCTTGCTGAGAGACTAGGAAATGGTAGATTTTACCTATCACAGTGCTAGTAAAATATAATGTTAACGTGTTAAATAGTAGATATTGTTTTAATCTAATATTCAGTAGGAAAACAAGACTAGATTCAGTTACTTTTTTAACCAAAAACCCTTAGGCTCATAGGTACATACATTTCATACATGTCAAGATATTATTATGAAAGACAAAACACATACAAATATCATACTTTATTCAATGACGTAACACAACAGGAATTGATATAATTGGCTAAATTTATCACCGATATTAATGAGATACTAATGTCCTTTCTGTTCCACCATGTATTATTGTCACCCATTTGTATATATGTATTCTCTACACTGTATTGTTTATGAGAATAAAACAATTGTTATTGTCATAATTAACATTCTCGAAACATAATTCGAATGTACAGGTGGAGAGTGACTTCACAGTATACATAAAACACTGTTTAACAGTGTACTTATAACAATACTTAATTAACACATTACATTAATGAAACACCACAATACAATAACTTATAAATTACACCTCTCGGATGCTTTCCACAATTGGATAGCTCTCCAATTTTGTTTGTACTAAGGAGTTGTATTTATGTTGTTCTTTTATTTTATCTTAGTCAGAATCATACCGGAAGCGTTTGGGAATACTTGAAATAAACTTACAGATATCAGAAAATATATTGTAAAGTTGGTTTAGGCTATTACACGCAAATGATGATGATGATGATGATGATGATGATGATGATATGATGATGATGATGATGATGATGATGATGATGATGAATTATATGGTACAAGAAGAAATTAAAAAGCTTTTAACAACTTAAAACATTAAAGTTCCAGAAATGGACAAAATATCAAATGAAAATTCTAGTTCTCTCCACCAGATATGGCAACTATATATTTTTTATTTCTTTAATGTTATTTTAGATAATGGTATGACAGCAGAAATTTGGAGTAATGATTTAAAAAAAAACTAATGTATGAAAAAAAAATCCAGAACATCCTGACAATCATAGGGCAATTAATTTATAAGTTGTTTGTTGTATACTTTATTTCTTTTTCAATACAAGTATTTACATTTCAATTTACATAATTTTTCCCCGCAACAGAATCCGGAAACCTGCAAATAAAGCCGATATAAATCCGTTTTCTACAGTTGGTGAAATAGATGAACAACATATCAAAAAGACAGACATCTATCATAGTAAGGTGTCAATTTTTTTTGCGTATTAACCCATGTCATATGACCTATCAGTCCTGTGATTGGTTGTAAGTTTCAATTGTTTCAAGTGGGAAGTCTCGCCTAGGATAAGTACATGACGTCACAGAATTACGCAGTGGAGTCAAAATGGCGACTTTTTACACTGTAAGGTTGCATGAAAATTGTCGTTTTACACGAATAAATGCCACAAATTTTGATTACACATAATATTAATATATCAGCATGTATATATAGGATCTTACACTTTCATTTCATATGAAATTTATGAAACTCGTTGCGAATTCTTAGACTCGTTTCATAAATCTCATATGAAATGGAAACTCATGTAAAATCCTATATATATACATGCTGATATATTAATATTATGTGTAACAATTACCGCTCACCAGTCTATTATATAAAAACGTTTGGTATCAGTGATAAGGCTTTTTCTAACACAAATGAAGATGAACTCGTTTTCAACCAAAGGAAGATTTTCGTCACCGAAGAGATTTAACCTCTCATTGAGTAGATACCGATTAATTTGATTAAAATGTGTAGCTCTGACGTTATCGTAGATCGAACATCGCAAAAGGAAACGTGCATTTTTTTCACTTCATAAACCACATGCACAAATAAGACTCTCAATTCAATTTTTAGAGTAAAGATATTAATTTAGTAGAAAAGAAGTTTTTTGGGTAATTATCTACACTCATTTTAAATACAGAATACGTTCTACTAGATAAAAGTTTTCCACACTTTCCGTGGCGATTGAAACTTGAAGACACAGAAAAGTTCCTAGAGGACTAAGACATTGTAACGAATGTAACCACACTGATGTTGAAGATGAATTTCACTTTCTATTAATTTTTATCACTTAATGTACTGTGTTATCCAGTGAATATACCTATGTCATATTTTTTGGCTTATTAACCCATGCATATAATATGACCTAACAGCCCTGTGATTGGTTGTAAGTTTCAATTGTTTCAATTGTGACGTCACGCCTAGGACAAGTACAGACGTCACAAACTTACGCACTGGAGACAAAATGGCAGCTTTTTACAATTCATGAAAATTGCCGTTGTACACGAATAAATGCCACAAATCTTGATAATGTGATTAAAAGGATTTCACACTCGTTTTCATTTGAGATAAAATTTATGAAACTCGTCACGTATTTTTTATTTTAGCGAGCCTGACTCGTTTCATAAATCTCATTTGAAATGGAAACTCATGTAAGATCCTATATGTAGTAAATTTCAAAATATTGGAGAGTGTTTGTCAAAAAATATAATTGGAAAAATTCTTCTGCTTTTAATGTTATATAGTTGTTAGGTGTCAAATTTAGTAAACATTTATATATGTCAACTTAGGAATGTTTTCGTTGAGTAAATAAATTAGCCTAATTACCCGTTAATTAATTATCATGTATTTGAAATTTACACCATCTCTTTACATTCTCTATATAGTGTACCCTGTATCACGTACTGGTGAATCTATAGCCTAAATTTTGAATAAACCTTGAATTTTACATGTATCAATCGGTTGAACCACTTTGAAAGAAAATAAGGTAACCATGCGGGGTTCCGAAAGGGGCATACGACTCTTGATGATAGTTTTATTTTACACAAATCAATTTCATTCTATCTAAATAGAGGTAAGAAATCAATATTGTACTTTCATCAATTTCTGCAAAGCGATCGATACTGTGTGGAGAGCAGGGTTATGACAGAAACTGCATTAAAATCGTATCAAAGGGAAAAATTCAGGATATTAAAATGTGTATGATATTATTCAATCATTTGAATTATACAATATCAAACCGTCAGATTTCTTCCCATGACTAATCGGGGTAAGCCAGGGGGCAATCCTTACACCGTCTCTATTTTCTATACTCCTATATTTTTTGGATTTTTTTTTTAAAGTTTATGGAATACTTTTCGCTAGAAAAGACAAGAAAACATATCTAACGATGTGTTTATTTTTATTGATTTTTTTTGTCTTGCTTTATGCCGACGATACGTTACGTTCCTATTTTTCGGAAAATTCAGAATAACTACAAAATGCATTGGGAATTTTTCAATCGTATTGTGATTAATGGAAATTTTAAGTCAACGTTATAAACTAAAACTATATGATATTCTGTAAGCGAAAAAGCAGTTTCACATACTTGGGTATTATATTTCATTAGAATGGAAGCTTCGCTGAAGAGTGAAATAAACTGATTGGATCAGCTAGAAAACCGTTATTAGCATGCACTGGAAACGTGGGAATTCGTTATTATGCCCATTTATTTGGCGTCACTTTGTAATATGACATGTGAGGTAATTATACTTATGATGCATGTGTGTCATTATTTTGGATTTGTTTTTATACATTATATCTGAATTTAAATGAATTTTATTGCATAAATACTACACAAGAGAGTTGGACGCACGTTATCTCAACTTATCAATGTCCTCTACAAGTACACATATTCCGTCTTTGCATATTGCAGAGTTATCTTCTCTTGGGAGCAGGTATTGATTGTTACGTCACTTGTTTGTGAGAGTAACGTCATCAATTTTTGAGAAAACGACGTAATTTTCTCACACAAACCAATGACGTAACAATCAAACCTGCCCCAAAGAGAAGATAACTCTGCAATACGCAAAGACGGAATACAAAGCTAAGCAATGGCCTAATAATAATTTGCACATAATATATTTCACATAGTATAAGAAAAGCAGAAAAAATTAGACAGTAGAAAAAGAATCAAAGATCAGAAAAAAAGATACTGATCGATGAATTGAGTATTACAGTGTAGGAGTTAACAGCTAGGTATTGAAGACACTATATATTGACCTGTATTTACTCAAACCGTTTATTATCAACAGTACATTTGTGAACATGTTTACAAATAACTTCGTTTGGTTTTATAAGTATTAGTTATATCATAGGAACCGAGCAATATGTTAGT